CAGCAGCTCCAACGCCTGGGTCCACAGCACCAGCAGCAGCACCAGCAGCACCGGGGTCCACGACACCAGGCGCGCCACTCCGAAGAGTGCAGTGCCGCTCGTACCACTCACGGATCTGCTCACGGGAGGGGAGCTCCCGGCTAGGAGGAGAAGCACTAGCACCAGCCCCAGTAGTACGCCTGGCTCCAGAGGTACCTCTCCTGAGGCTGCAGTACTGGAAGTACCACTCACGCAGCTGCTCCGAAGAGAGGGCTCCTCCAGGTGTAGGACTCTCAGGCTCAGGGCCTCCAGACTTAGAACCCCCAGACTCCGGACTCCGCGGCTCAGCACCCCCAGGCTGAGCACCCCCAGGCTCCGCACCCCCAGGCTCAGCACCCACAGGCTCCGCACCCCCAGGCTCAGCACCCACAGGCTCCGCACCCCCAGGCTCAGCACTCCCCGGCTCAGCACCCCCAGGCTCTGCACCCCCAGGCTCAGCACCCCCAGGCTCAGCACCTCCAGACTCCGCACCTGCAGCAGGACGAGAGTCGACAGCTACCTCAACAGGCTCAACCGGGTCTACCTGAGACACACCTGAGGGAGCGGCACCCTGAGGGGGGAGGGGGTCGACGACAGCAGCACCTGGCGCGAGGAAGAGAGGCGGGGGTGGGGAGCGGGGCGGTGCGGTAGGGGAAGAGGCGGTAGTAGGGGACGGACTCGTCAAAAGTGACGTCCTGAGAGGGCAAGACTCGGCGCGAGGTGGCGTGGTAAAACTGCCAACCAGGCGCGTCCGGGACAAAGCCGAGGAAGACGCAGGGAACAGCACGGGAGGAGAGCTTGTCCGCAGACGTATCGCGGACAAAAGCTCGAGATCCCCAGACCCGGAAACGTGACGCATCGCCAACCTCCCCCGTCCACAGCAGTGTGGGCGAGGTCTCCGGCAAGGAGACACGGGGCCAGAGGTTGAGCTGATGCGCAGCGTACCGGACCGCAAACGGCCACAGAAAGTGGGGGGCAGCCGCATGGATCAAGGAGGTACGGGCGACCTCCATGACCAGGCCAATGCAGCGCTCCGCAACCCCATTCTGCTGTGGAGAGGGCGGAAGCGTGAACGACTGCTCAATGCCGTGCTCAACACAGTAGGCTGCCAAGAGGTCGGAGGAGAACTCACCACCTCTGTCAGAGTGCAAGCGCAGGACATGAAAGTCCGAGCGGAAACGCTCGCTGAGCTGGAGACGGGCTCTGCGGATCCAAGGGATAAAGACATCAGGGACCTCACCCTTGGTGCGCAAGGGGAAGCCCGTGGTGTAGCGCGAGTAGTCGTCAACAACTATCAGGAAGTACCTCTCCTGACCCTGACCACGGACGCGGGCTGGGCCCCACACGTCCATGTGGAGCGTCTGCAAGGGAGCAGTCGTCGGGGGAAACGAGGAGGAGTGAGGAGCGGCGCGCTTCCGCCCCTCAACACAGGGAAGACAAGGAGGAGCAGGCGAGGGTGGGAGGGGAGGGAGGACCCTGGGAAGACCAGAGACAAGGTACCGGGAGTGCATGGCACGAAGGCGCTGCACAGACGGGTGGCCAAGTCGGTGGTGCCAGAGGACAGTCTCGTGCGCGAGAGAGCGACACGAGCAGGGGGCAGACTGCTGACCTGACGCGGACGCAGACGCGGACGCAGACGCAGACGCAGCGACCTTAGGGGACTTAGTGGTCAGAGTGTACAGGTGCGACCCCGGCTGCCGAGTGAAGGTAGCCAAGTGGTGGCCCGTACGAGCACACGTGCAGTGTGTCACACGCTCGTAGGCAGGGGTGAACTGGTGAACACCCCCGTCCTGGAGTGCACAACCTGCCACCAAGTTCGTAGAGAACGAGGGGAGGTGGAGACCTGACAGTGTGCCCGACGGGACCGCAGGACAGGGAAGGACAGTGGAGGAGGTTGCAATGACCGGACCCCCAGAGGGGTCAGCGAGGGAGACAGCAACTGGCCGAGCAAGTGGCTCAAGGGCAGTGCGGTCACGAAAGAAGCAGCGAGAAGCACCTGAGTCCAGTGTGAAGGTGTGCAGTGCTGCTGCCGACTCAGTACCAGGGGGGACAGACGCACAAGCACCTAGAGCAGCTGCCTCACCAGCATCTGGGGTAGCAGACACGCGAGTACCTGGAGCGGCAGACGCACTAGTCCTAATGCCCGGGTCGGGCGGGACACACAGGTACTCAGCACCCTTTCCACTAGTAGACATCACATACATAGCAGTGAGAATAGCATCAAAGTCTAGAGCATAGATATCAACCCCCTTCTTCAGGAGATCAACCCAGCGGGGCAGCTCAGTGGCCTGAGGGAACTGAACACGCCAAGCGTCGTTGAGACGAGCGAAGCAGCGCTGTGTGGCGTGCGGTCCCCCACACGGCTGACCAGTGCGGTCACCAGTGCGAATGACGTATGTGCAGTTAAGGCCACCCCCCCCTCCCGTGCTGAGAGTACCACTCACGAACCTCCTGGGGCGACGGAGTGTGCTGCTGGCCCTAGCCACCGCCAGCGCCTCCACGACCACCACCGCCGCCGCCACCTCCTCGACCACCCCAACCCCTGCCGCCGCCGCGTCCACCGCCACCCCCACCACCGCCCCCGCCCCTGCCACCTCCCCCGCCGCTGCCGCCACCACCCCCACCGCTGCCACTAGCCCCTCCAGTCGCGCCACCACCCCACTGCCGCCACCACCCCCACCACCGCCTCCCCCGCCGTCACCACCTCCTCCCTTGCCCCCTCTGCCCCTGCCGCTGCGGCGCCCGCTCGAAGCAGACGCAGCCCCGACCTTCTCAGCACCAAGGAGGTCGAGAGCAGCAGCAGAGGCGACAAAGGGGAGAAGGGGGGAAGAGGAACACCCCTTAAAGAAAGGGGTGCGGGGGTCGCCACGAGAGGCACCTACAGCGACTATGCTAGTCTCAGCTGCAAGCAGTTCCTTCTCGAGGAGGGCAATGGTGAGCTCAGTGGGGCAGCGAGCTAGGAAGTGGTCCCTGACAGCACGCAATGTGTCAGGGAGGCGGGTGACTAGGTGGTAAAGAGTGAGCCAGAGTGGGGGGGGGTGAGTGGCAAGGAACTCAGCGGGCATGGCGGCACGGAAGCGGGCCTCACTAGTACGGAGGTGCGTGATGAGGTCAGCGACTGTGTGGAACGAGGCCAGGTCGGGAAACAGGTAGGGGAGGGAGAGACGACCTAGCGCGGCAGAGGCAGGTGAGGAGTAGCTAGCAACGACAGCTGTGTACAGTGCCTGTGCAGTCTTGTGCTGGCCAAAGTGCTCGCGTTCGTCTATCGGCAGGGAGTTGCGAATAGCGAAGCGAGCGTGGGCATCACGAGTCTGCCACTGTGAGCGAGCAGTGCTGTCAGCAGTAGCAGCAGGGGCAGTGACATGGCCTAGGGCGTGATCGTACAGTGAGATGTCGTCCTTGGCTGTGAGCTGTAGATAGAGGTGCAGGTCATCTAGCCAGGTGTCAAACTTCACTGGGCGGCCCTCAGCATCGAAAACGAGAACCTGTGGGCTAGCCATAAGAGGAGTAGAAGTAGCAGCAGAAGGAGGAGGAGGAAGGAGGTAGGGCGGCTCGGTTGAGGTGGGGCGGCGCGGCTCGGGTGGGGCGGCGCGGCTCGGATCGGGCGGCGCGGCTCGGGTGGGGCGGTGCGGCTCAGGTGGGGCGGCGCGGCTAGGATCGGGCGGCGCGGCTCGGTTTGGGTCGGGCGGCTCGGTTCGGGCTGCTCGGGTCGGGCGGCTCGTTCTGGGCGGGGCCGTTCGGGGTCCTAGGGGCGAGCGCGGGGCCGATCGGGGCCTTTAGAGGCGAGCGCGGGGCCGTAAGGGGCTGCTAGGGATGAGCGCGGGGCCGTAAGGGGCCGCTAAGGGCGAGCGCGGGGCCGATCGGGGCCTCTAGGGGCAAGCGCGGGGCCGTAAGGGGCCTCTAGGGGCGAGCGCGGGGCCGGTCGGGGCCTCTAGGGGCAAGCGCGGGGCCGTTCGGGGCTCTAGGGAGGTGAGCGCGGGGCCGACGGGGCCTCTAGGGGCGATCGCGGGGCCGAAAGGGGCCGCTAGGGGCGAGCGCGTGGGCCGTTCGGGGCCTCTAGGGGCGGGCGGACGGGGCCTTAAAGGGTCGTGAAAAACCGAGGCGCACTAGGGCGCAGGTAGGTAGGTAGGTAGGTAAAGGTGGGCCCTAAAAAAATCGGTCCTAGGAAGGACCTGCTCTATACCATGTTGAAATCAACGAACAGGAATGGATGAACTAACAGTGAAAACAGTACAAGTACCTAACCCTAGAATTGTGTGCCCTCTATAGGCTAACCCACTGTAGCCTAAACAAGCACAACATATATAATGTTTGACATGTCAGAGTGCAGACGCAGAACAGGAAAATCCGAGCCGAAACTCTCTCTGAGCTGGAGACGAGGTGCGCGGATCCAGTCGATCAACACCTCAGCGACGTCACCCTTGCTGCGCAAGGGGAACACCGTGATGTAACGCGAGTAGTCGTCAACCACCAACAGGAAGTAACGCTCGTGACCCTGGCCACGGACGCGGGCGGGGCCCCACACGTCCATGTGAAGAGTCTGCAGCGGAGCCTCTGTCGGAGGAAACTCGGAGAAGTGAGGGGCGGCGCGCTGTCGCCCCTCGACGCAGGGGACGCAGGTAGGGGCAGGCCCCAGAGGTAGGGGAGGTAGGGTGCGGGGGAGACCAGAGACAAGGACACGGGAGGCCATGCCTCGGAGACGAGGCAGGGAGGGGTGACCAAGGCAGTGGTGCCAGAGGAGAGTCTGGTGGGACAGGAGACGACAGGAGCAGGGCGCAGACTCAGGACCAGACCTGGACGCTGCAGCAAACACCTGACTCGACGCAGCTACCTGACCAGACTCAGCAACCGGAGGAGACTCAGTAGTCAGTGTGTACAGGCTCGACCCCGGCCGACGGGTAAACGTGACCAAGTGTCGGCCCGTCCGAGCACACGTGCAGTGGGTCACCCACTGACTCGCAGGAGTGAACTGGTCAACCCCCCTATCCTGTAGTTCAGCTCCACTCACCAAGTATGTAGAGAACGAGGGTAGGTTGAGACCTGACAGGGTGCCAGAGGGGGCCGCCGGGCACGGTAGGACAATGAAGAAGCTAGCAAGGACAGGTACCCCAGAGGGGTCCGCCAGGGAGACCGCAACCGGCCGACAAAGCGGCGTAAGCGTGGTGCGGTCTCGAAAGAAGGAGCGGGAAGCACCCGAATCAAGGGTGAACGTGTGGGAGGCCTGAGCCGGCGTGGTACCTGAGAGAGCAGACTCACCTGCACCTGGGGCAGCAGACGCACTAGCACCTAGAGCAGCAGCCTCACCAGCACCTAGAGCAGCAGCCTCAATGCCCGGGTCAGGCGGAACACACAGGTAACAGTCACCCTCATCACTAGTAGACACAGCATACATGGCAGCAAGAATAGCATCATAATCAAGATCAAAGATAGCAACCCCCGCCCTAGACAGCTCTCCCCAGCGAGGGATCTCAGTGGCGTCAGGGAACTGGTGATGCCACGCGTCCGTCAGGCGGCCGAAGCGGCGCTGGGTGGAGTGCGGGCCCCCGCACTGCTCACCAGCACGGTCGCCGGTACGGAGGTTGTAGGTGCAGGGACCAGTACCCCCACCTCGCTGACGCTCAGCGTACCACTCACGAAGCTGCTGGGGGGACGGGGTCTCACGACTGCGCTGCTGCTGCTGGCGCGGACCACCACCGGAGCCACTCCTCTGCGCAGAGCCGCGACCAGCTCCTCCGCTGCCTCCGCCGCCTCCGCCACCTCCGCCACCTCCGCCGCCTCCGCTCCCTCCGCCACCGCCGCCGCCTCCTCCGCCTCCACTGCTGCCACCGACACCTCCACCCCCGCCACCACTCCCACCACCACCCCCAACCCCTCCACTACCTCCACCACCACCTCCACCGCCCCCGCCAGCCCCTCCAGCGCCCTTGCCCCCCTTGCCCTTGCCGGTGCGACGTCTCCCGCTAGGGGCAGATCCAGCGCCGACCGACTCGAAACCAACGAGGTTGGGCGCTGCAGCAGAAGCAACAGAGGGCAAGAGGGGGGAGGGGCAACAACCCCCAAAGATGGGGTTGCGAGGGTCACCACGAGAGGCTCCTACAGCGACTATGCTCTTCTCTGCTGCTAGGAGGCGCTCCTCGAGGAGGTCGACGGTTTGTGTGGTGGGGCAAACTAAGAGGAAGTGGTACCTGACTAAGCGAAGGGAGTCAGGGAGCCGGGTGACTACGTAGTAGAGGGTGATGTACATGGGGGGGGGGGGGTTCTTGGCACAGAACTCAGCAGGAAGCGCAGCGCGGTAGCGAGTGTCACTAGTGCGAAGGTGCGTAATGAGGTCAGCGACTGTGGGAAAGGCAGCAAGGTCAGGGAACAGGTACGGCAGCATGAGGCGGCTAAGCGCAGTAGTGGCAGGGGAGGAGTAGCGTGCAACCACAGCATCGTACACGGTCTTAGCACTCTTGTCCTGGCTAAAGTGCGCACACTCAGTGGTCGGTAAGTGGCGACGCACAGCAAGACGGGCAGCAGCATCGCGTGTGGCCCACTGAGAGCGAACAGTGCTGTCAGCAGTAGCAGGCGGGGCAGGAGAGGCACCAGAGGTGAGATCGAACAGGGAGAGTCCGTCTGCCCTATCGCACTGTACGAACAGCTGGAGGTCATCGACCCAGACCTCAAAGTCAACAGCACGACCCTCAGCATCAAAGGTAAGGACACTGGGGGTAGCCATGACTGCAGTGGCCTACTAGGGAGTGATCTCACAAGTCCGAGTAAGTAGGGCCGGGGCGCGCCGGTAGGAACAGTTTCGGCTCGACGGCAGGGCGGCTCGGCGGCTCGGCTGCTGGGCGGCTCGGTGGCTCGGTTGCTGGGCGGCTCGGCGGCTCGGCTGCTGGGCGGCTCGGCGGCTCGGCTGCTGGGCGGCTCGGCTATTGGGCGGCTCGGCTGCTCGGCGGCTCGGTTGCTGGGGGACTCGGCGGCTCGGCGGCTCGGCTGCTGGGCGGCTCGGCGGCTCGGCTGTTGGGCGACTCGGCTGTTGGGTGGTTCGGCTGCTCAGCTGCTGGGCTGCTCAGCGGTGAAGGGGCCGGTAGAGGCGGCGACGGGGCCGGTAGAGGCGGCGATGGGGCCGCTAGGGGCGGCGCTGGGGCCGCTAAGAGCGGCGAGGTGGCCGCGAAGGGCGGCGACGGGGCCTCCAGGGGCGGCGACGGGGCCGCTAGGGGCGGCGACGGGGCCGCTAGGGGCGGCGACGGGGCCGCAGAGGGGCCGCAAGGGGCCTAGAGGGGCGGGGACGAGGCCGCGAAGGGGCCGTAAGGGGCCTCGAGGGGGCGGCGACGGGGCCGTAAGTGGCGGCGACGGGGCCGCGAAGGGGCCGCGAGGGGCCTAGAGGGGCGGCGACGGGGCCGCTAGGGGCGGCGATGGGGCCGTGAAGGGGCCGTGAGGGGCCTATAGGGGCGACGACAGGGCCTAGAGCGGCGGCGACGGGGCCGTGAAGGGGGCCGCCTTGGGCCTAGAGCGGCGGCGACGGGGTCGCTAAGGATGGCGACGGGGCCGCTAAAGGTGGCGCGAGGGGCCTCTAGGAGGGCGCGACGTGAGGGCGGCCTACGGGGCACGCCTCGGGCAGGAAAAAAAAGATCGAGTTAGGTGGTGGGCCCTGAGAAGCGTTCCCACGAGGGAACCTGCTCTATACCATGTGAAGAATGAGGAATGAATGAACTAGCAAGCAGGTGGGTACAAGTAGGAAAACCTAGAAATGTTGTACCCCATATAGTCTACCCCACTACAGCCTACACAGACTATAGCATATAAGTTTGACAGCCCAGCGCGCAGTTTGATATCGTGGCTGGCATGACCGTCGCGCAGGGCACGACATTCGCGGCAAGGGCCAGGACGGGGCTCATGATGAAGGCCATGATGGACGCCACAGGGAGGAACGATACTTAGGCCCTAGGAACGAATCGCTTTGATAACATGTCAAAATATTGGCTTTGAGACTTGGAATTTAATAGCTAGTGAGGCTGTCGAGATGAAAGAGGCTAGGTGAAGACTAGAAAGGGGATGAGCCCTGAAATTTTCAAGCAAAGCAAGGGGAGTTTGGGGTGTACCGCAAATAGCTTGGGTGTACGATGCAATCTACAATACTGTAACTATAACAGGCGGTTCAGATAAAACAGAATATACTACTGCCTAGATAAAGAGGGATGATTTTGTCAACCTTGTCCTGGTGGGTAGCGTGAGCAAACAAAATATAGAAATTGTTGTTGACAAAAGTGTGGAAATGCGCATGATTACGTTTGCACATGTGAATCTGCTTGTTTGTAGGTGTAGATTTCAAAGTCCAAGGAGATCTAGTGGGGAGCTCAAACACAAGGATTTTCGGATTGGTCTGAAACGCCCTTTGCCCAGCCCGCTTTGAAGACGGCTCAAGCGAATGAGGGGGCTGGTAACTGAAGCATCCCAAACTACCCTTTTGACACTTCCCAACGAATCAGGGATGACGTTGTGCCATGCTTGCGCCATCCGCCTTTTCGCAGTGCGCCGCAAAACTTCCAACAGGGTTTGATGTTTGGTGGGGCAACCAGTGGCGCGGAAATCCGTTTGAGCTGCCCCAAGCTGTTATCCGAATGTCCTTGGCAGCAGATTGAGGGGATCAATGGTGCCTTGGACCCTCGGCTCTTTCAAGGGTAGGATCTCTCCGCCGTGGGCAAGCGCCGGGCCCAACCAACAGCCCACGAAACCCTTGTGGTTGGGTTTGGCCTCTTGACCTGGAGGACCTGGAGCGGTTGTTCTCAAAAGTGCGACTTTTACATCATCAAAACATGGGTGGACATCAATGTCAAACATTATATATGTTGTGTTAGTTTAGGCTACAGTGGGTTAGGTACTTGTACTCATTTCACTGCTAGTTCATTCATTCCTGTTCAGTGATTCCAACATGGTATAGAGCAGGTCCTTCCTAGGACCGAAATTTTCTAAGGGCCCACCACTACGTAACTACCTACCTACCTACCTACCTATGCCCTAGGGCGCCTCGGCGTGTCACGCCCCTAGAGGCCCCTCTTGACGGCCCCGCGCTAGCCCCGTTCAGGCCCCGTCGGCCCCACGCCCGCTCTCCCTAGCGGCCCCGTTCAGGCCCCGTCGGCCCTTTTAAGGCCCCATTCAGGCCCCTCGCTAGCCCCGTTCAAGCCCCGTCGGCCCCGTTTCAGGCCCCGTCGGCCCCGCGCTAGCCCCTCCCAGGCCCCGTCGGCCCGCGCTAGCCCCGTTTCAGGCCCCGTTTCAGGCCCCGTCGGCCCCGCACTAGCCCCTCTCAGGCCCCGTTGGCCCGCGCTAGCCCCGTTTCAGGCCCCGTTGGCCCCGTTTCAGGCCCCGTCGGCCCCGCGCTAGCCCCTCTCAGGCCCCGTCGGCCCGCGCTAGCCCCGTTTCAGGCCCCGTCGGCCCCGCGCTAGCCCCTCTCAGGCCCCGTTGGCCCCGCGCTAGCCCCATTCAGGCCCCGATCGGGCCCGCGCTAGCCCCGTTTCAGGCCCCGTCGGCCCCGTTTCAGGCCCCGTCGGCCCCGCGCTAGCCCCGTTCAGGCCCCGTCGGCCCCTTGCTAGCCCCGTTTGGCCCCGCGCTAGCCCCGCTCAGGCCCCGATCGGCCCCGCGCTCGCCCCTCTAGGGCCCCAACCGGCCCCGTGCCGACCTCGTCGACCCGTGCCCACCACCTAGAGGCCCCGGGCGGCCCGTTCCCGCCGCAGCACACGAGGGAGAGCGGGCGGCCCGTCCCCGCCGTGACCCGAACCGCGCGACCCGAGCCGCGCGCCCCGAGCCGAGCCGCGCGGCCCGAGCCGAGCCGCGCCACCCAGCCGAGCCGCGACCCGACCTGAACCGAGCCGCGTCGCCCTGCCCTACCTGGTTCGTCCTACCTGCTTCTCCTACTGCTACTGCTGCTATTTCTACTGTTCCTATGGCTAGCCCACAGGTTCTCGTGTTCGATGCTGAGGGCCGCCCTGTGAAGTTTGACACCTGGCTCGATGACCTGCACCTCTACCTACAGCTCACAGCCAAGGATGACATCTCACTGTACGATCACGCCCTAGGCCATGTCACTGCCCTTGCTGCTACTGCTGACGGCAATGCTCGCTCACAGTGGCAGACTCGTGATGCCCACGCTCGCTTTGCCATTCGCAACTCCCTCCCGATAGACGAACGCGAGCACTTTGGTCAGCACAAGACTGCACAGGCACTGCACACAGCTGTAGTTGCTCGCTACTCCTCACCTGCCTCTGCCGCACTAGGCCGTCTCTCCCTCCCCTACCTGTTTCCCGACCTGGCCTCCTTTCACACAGTCGCTGACCTCATCACGCACCTCCGTACTAGTGAGGCCCGCTTCCGTGCCGCCATGCGTGCTGAGTTCCTTGCCACGCACCCCCCTCCACTCTGGCTCACTCTCTACCACCTAGTCACCCGCCTCCCTGACACACTGCGTGCTGTCAGGGACCACTTCCTAGCTCGTTGCCCCACTGAGCTCACCATTGCCCTCCTCGAGAAGGAGCTACTTGCAGCTGAGACTAGCATAGTCGCTGTAGGTGCCTCTCGTGGCGACCCCCGTACCCCGTTCTTTGAGGGGTGTTCTCCTTCCCCCCTTCTTCCCTTTGTCGCCTCTGCTGCTGCTGTTGACCTTCTTGGTGCTGAGAAGGTCGGTGCTGCGTCTGCCTCGAGCGGACGCCGCAGCGGCAAGGGCAAAGGGGGCAAGGGTGGTGGCGGTGACGGCGGGGGAGGCGGCGGTGGGGGCGGTGGAGGCAGTGGGGGTGGTGGCTCGGCTGGAGGGGCGAGTGGTAGCGGTGGGGGTGGTGGCGGCAGCGGCGGGGGAGGTGGCAGGAGTGGAGGCGGCGGTTGGGGTGGCGGTGGACGAGGCGGCGGCAGGGGTTGGGGTGGTCGAGGAGGTGGTAGCGGTGGTGGTGGCCGTGGAGGCACTGGCGGTGGCCAGGGCCAGCAGCACACTCCCTCGCCCCGGGAGGTCTGTGAGTGGTACTCTCAGCACGGGGGTGGGGGTGGTCTTAGCTGCACGTACGTCATTCGCACTGGTGACCGCACTCGTCAGCAGTGTGGACGACCGCACGCCACACAGCGCTGCTTCTCTCGTCTCGACGACGCTTGGCGTGTTCAGTTCCCTCAGGCCACTGAGCTGCCTCGCTGGCTTGATCTCCTGAAGAAGGGGATTGATATCTATGCTCTAGACTTTGATGCTATTCTATCTGCCATGTATGTGATGTCTACTAGTGGAGAGGGTGCTGAGTACTTGTGTGTGCCGCCCGACCCGGGCATTAGGGCCAGTGCGTCTGCCGCTCCAGGTACTCGCGTGTCGGCTACCCCAGGTGCTGGTGAGGCTGCTGCTCTAGGTGCTCGTGTGTCTCCCCCCCTTGGTACTGCGTCGACTGCCGCACTGCACACCTTCAAACTGGACTCAGGTGCTTCTCGCTGCTTCTTTCGTGACCGCACTGCCCTTGAGCCGCTTGCTCGGCCAGTTGCTGTCTCCCTTGCTGACCCCTCTGGGGGTCCGGTCATTGCGACCTCTTCCACTGTTCTTCCCTGCCCTGCGGTCCCGTCGGGCACACTGTCAGGTCTCCACCTCCCCTCGTTCTCTACGAACTTGGTGGCAGGATGTGCACTCCAGGACGGGGGTGTTCACCAGTTCACCCCTGCCTACGAGCGCGTGACACACTGCACGTGTGCTCGTACGGGCCGTCACTTGGCTAC